TATGTATATATATATATACACACACACACACACACTGTAAGAAAACAAGCTTTGGCCACTGGAGTATAGCTTGATCTAAGGGAAGAGATATTCAGTATTTAGGGTATATGCATGTCAAAAGAACCTAACTGGAAATAGTAGTAATTAAGTGAATATATTCATTATCTTTGCCTGTTGTAATGAAATGCCGAAGGTAACCAACTTAAAAAAGAGGAAAGGTTTATTTTGGTTTACCGTTTCAGAAGCATCAGGCAATGGTTAGTTCATCTATTGCTTTTGGATGTGTGGCGAAGTAACATGATGAGGAGAGCATGGCAGAGAAAATTTCTCATGATTGATGGAAAATGAAAGAAAAAGATAAAGGAAGGGTATGGATTTTCACTATCCTCTTGAATGACACTCTCCCAGTGAACTAAGTTGTCTCAATTGTTGCACCTATTAAAGTTCCACTACTTTTTAATAGCACCATGCAGAAGACCACACTTTAACATATAGGTCTTCAGAGGGTATTTCAGGTCCAAACTACAGCAGTGAACTTTAAGAAAATATAAGTGTTCAGTTCCCCACCTGAGGTGTTATCAAAGAAGGTCTAGGAGGGGGCCAGGACTTTCATCCTAGCTGGATAGTACCAAGCCTCCAGGCCCATGGTATCAGTGAAGATCACATGCACACAGCATGAACGTTCATCTCACCTACTGCCAAGAAGAACACTTCTCCACTGAATATATGGTGTTAATGGAGGTCTAGAGTCACGACTCTCACCCCACTCCACTGTGGATTTGGTGAAGGCTACATGGAGAGAAGTAACAAGGAACTCTCCCAGCAAAGAATGGCATCCATGAAGGCCTATAGGAATCCATGTTGTCCCGCCCCCAACAGCAGCTAACAGAGGGCAGTGAGGAGCATGAACTTCTGCCTCCATTCAGCAAGACTGAAGCAGTACCTGCTCTATTCCTCCAAAGCACTGCACTGCCAGAGAAAGCAGACTACAACAGGTAATAATACTTAACCATTTAATACTTAATTCACCTCTAAATCAGTAATCATAAAAATATTTCAAGGAGCTATAATAAATGAACTAGAAAGAAAGAAACAACTAGAAAGTCCCAGCAAAAACACAGAAATTTGAAGTCAAGAAATGCAAGATAAAAAAAAAACAATCAATGAAAAAAACATTATAATCAATCACATAATTTTAATGGATGAACTGAACAATAGAATGGAAAATGTAAGTTGCCATATAGGAACAAGAGAGAAAAAATAGACTTCAAACAAGAGAATTGAGTAAAATTTTGTTATATTTGAAATATATCAAAAGATAGGTGCAATCCTAAAAAGCGAAGCCAAAGTGGGCATGACTGAAAAGTTTTAAAAAATTAGTGTATGAAAATTTTCCGAGTTAACAAAAACCATAAGTCTACAAATTCAAGAAGCTAAGCAAACTACAAAAAGGAAAACCCTAAAGACATGTTTAAAAAGACGGATAATAGTTAGAATTTTATATACTACATATTTTTAAGAGAAAAAATATGACCTAAACTATAGAAGAAATAATATAGTTTTTTTTTTCTCAAATCTACAGGAAACAGAAACAACTTTACTGTACAATCCAAGTACTGAAAAAAAAATGTCAACCTAGAATTATACCTTTCAAAACTAATGTAGAAATCAAGAGCCTCTGACATGACTGGAAATTAAGTATTGTCATCAGAAGTGCATCTTATATGAATGACAAAAGGGAAGTTCTCCAAAAAGAAAGCTAATGATTAAAAGTGAAATCTTGAAATATTGAGGATGGGAAAATGATAGAAAGGATAAAATTATAAATTTTATAAAGGATAAAATTATAAATACACTACACTGCACTTCTGATATTAATTTTTTTAAACAAAAAGATTTAACACTTTAGATAAGCTAAAACAGTTGCCAGTACAAAATGGTTGTGAGAGTATAAAGAAATTGCATCACTTATTTATAATCTATGGCAGTGCAAAATGGTATAGAACTCAAGAAAATAGTTCAGCAGTCTCTTTAAAAAAGGCTAAACATACACTT